TTATTTTAGTACATAATTTATATTTATAAACATTTAATAAGTAATAAGTTCATTTTTATTTTTTTTTTTTTTTTTTTTTTTTTTTTTTAAGTTACTTTATTACAGAATTATAATTGTATTGTATTATAATTTAATTAGAACTGTAATTATATTAGAATTATAATTTAGTATGGATTTATTTTAGTACAGAATTAGTATTTATAAGGAGACATTTAGGGATCTTCGATTATATTGCCCAAGTTGCAATTTTAGAAATATGTATAACAATTACGGAAAGATTGCAACAACCATACTCTACTATATCGGTATTTCGTGAGTTTGTCTCTAATACTCAAATCGTATTTTTTTAATATTGACTCGTACATAAAAAGTATACTTTGCATAGTATGATATAAAATAAGGAGGTCCCATGTATTATTAAAATTTCTTATTTCTAATTAAATAAGTAAATATTGCAACTATGCGTCAATTAAAAATCTCTATTATTATTACGTAGATGTCATTAAATACATATCTTTATTACTGCCATAAACTCACGTTTGCGCAAATTGTAATGCTATAATCCGTTTAATTTAATTTTTCAACAGATGATTTCTACAAACATTCCTACACAGCGATCCCAATTTAGAATTTTACCAACAGTCGTTTTTTTACTGTTAACTATTAAATTTTCAAATATTTTCTACTTAAGAAGTTTAACTATTACTTATTCAAAATTTTTAAATACTTTCTAGCTAAGAAACTGCGTTCTCTTCGCTCACAAATTGAAATCGTCGTAACGTTCCTAAACCAACCTAATTCAACACGTTACAACACGACACTGTCGTGCCTCGAACATTTGCAACACGTACAACAAATACGTAATTAATTCACGGCAGTTAAGTAGCACGCGCGTTATGAAATATTGAAAAGCTGCGCGCCGCGTGTTTTATCGCGTCCGCCTCTTATTAAGAATTACCGGTAGCGAGCTAAAGCACGTGTGAATCATTTGTGAGACAGTTGGAAAGCTCTTTCGCGCGTCTGACGCGAGGAAACCACGTTGAACCGTGCGCGACAAGTGCTCGATGTTGCACGCACACACAGCTAACGACGCGTTTGCATCTTGTTGCAGGAAAACATCTCGACCCCGGAGCCAGCCGACATATCCGAGGAGGATCACTACTCGAGTAAGCAAAACCATTCATTACTTGCACCACTCGTGGACCTTGTCGATCCTACGTTCGTGTATAATCGGACCGCGAAGACGAGATACTTTTTTTTTTTACGTCATTCTCTTCACAGCGATGCTGTAGAAAAGTTTTGTCTGACAGAGAGAAGATTTGTTCGTTGCATTGTTTGATTATTATTGTAATAGAGGGTGTTCGACTCAACATTAGAACTACCAGATGGAATAAGAAATTTTGTAAACTCTGGAGACTCACCGCGGTGAATTTTTAGAAATTTGAATGATTTCACGTGAAATATTAAGTAAATTGGAGCTTAGTTGTTGTCTTGAATTGTAATTTTTTCTTTGTCTCTTGCAACTTTATTTTCCCCTATCCAGATTTTATATTGTAGTCGTTGGTAGTTCTAATGTCGAGAATTGTTCGCGGATTTTTATGTAAATTCGTATTTTTGAGAATAAATGAAGAAGAACGTACATACACATATATACAGTGAGTCGCAAAAATATGCTAATTCTTATAATGTTATTTTTAAAAATACACAATAATTAAGCCATAGGAAAACATTCAGTAAGTTGTAATATTGATGAAAATTTAAATATATTGTTAAATCCAACAATTTCGAGGGTATAAATACTTCTGTCGGTCATTGTACGAAAAATATACTGCTACGAAAAATGATGGATGTACAAATATACAAAATATACTTCGAAAACACTATATTTTATATTTCAAAATTATGCACAACTACATAAAAATCCGCTTATTAGTTTACTCAGAAAGCTTCGATTCCTTAAAGTTCCAAATATTCAACGAAATTTTGATAATTCGACAGCATTAGAAGACTGTAAATTTTAAAAATAATTACCAATATCACCAATAATATTCGAGAGGTTCATAGTAATTTCGTGATTGTAGAAAACTTTCATTCAATGTTGAAAATAGATATTATAATACACTTTAATGCATGTGTTTCGCGTCCAACAGAATTTACGTTCCTCACGAAACTGTTCGTCACTATAAGTGATTTTATCATCTATACGTATTAGTGAAACAAAACAACTATACCATGTTCAGTTACACTCGCGAAAAAATTCGTTTCATTCGTCGAATGTTGTGCATCTTACAATTATTTTTCAACGTGTTTCTTTCTCAATTTTGTAATTATTATTCTTTTTCCTCGAATGTTTGCAAACTATGACGACTTTGCACCTTTGAAGGGGTTAAATTATAAAAGAATTTTAAATTCGAGCTCAATCATTGAGAGACAGCTTCCTTCGCTAAAGTAAATATATCCAGTCCACTTTTGTTCTATCTTAATACACGTTTCTACTACCTGTACAGAATGCTGATTGCATTCTGAACAAAACTGCGTTTCCGATGATTACGGCATCATCGAGGAAAGCGCCTTGATCTCGTGTTTCCTTTTCACGAATCAACGAAACGATACACAAATTACACGTATTCGTCATACGAGGATCTTGTTGCACAACTGAATCAATATTTCACTTTGAAAGGGTTAGCACCCTGTTGAAAGAATGTCCAACCCTTTGCGAACGTCCTATCGAAACGAGTCTCCCCTTTCACCCAAACTATTCACAGAGGCGCCCAGACCTCTGCAATTCTCTCTGCTTCTCTCTGTACGTGCGTCTAAGCCTTCGCGATCAAATGCAAGATCACGGTGGATTTTAGTCGCCGAGAAACATTTTTCATACTTTTGTAAAAATGAAGTAATGCTTCGTTGAATCACTTTAATACGATATAAAAATATTCTTGCGAAATAAAGATGAACTCAGTATTAGAAAGGAGGATTTAATACAAGACCAGGTGATCTCACAAAGTAGCGACAGTTCGAATATTGAATAATGAAAATATCGTTTTATTAACTTATTAACCTATTTCGTACGAAGCTTTTACTCTAACACTCAGCGAGTGACGAGCCCCTTTTCCCAAAGATATTTTTACATCGTCTCGAAAGCTGTAAATAAACGTAGTAGTTCTATCTCTCGAAAATTTCCCAAATTGTGAAGACTGAAACAGTCTCCTCGTAGCTTCCACCGTGATCTCGAAGATTCAAGTTCCCCCCCCCCCTTCCCCCCTCTTGATCAATAACCCGTTAAAAATTTTCGTCCGCCAGTGAAACGAGTTCGAAATGGCCGACAATTTTTTTTTTTTTTTCTCATCGAGCGTACGACGCCCGCTGTACCCAATTTTAAGATCGTATTTTCATCTACCGTCGCCGCCGTCTTCCAACCAAATTTCCAACAATCCGACGGATTGCAGAAAATGGCACCTTGACGCGCACCGCGCGACAAACACATCGTCCACTATTTCTGCGAGCGGGGCGTCCGCGCCGGGGATCGACGAACTCCAGGCAGAGGCGGATCGTTCAATTTGACGTTCGTTGTACCCTGGACGGGGTCAGGTCGCGGCCGTTTCGAGAAATCTGACCCAAATCGTACGATGGTGGCGTCGCGTTTCTGCATTATTGAACGGGCTGAATGATTTAGACGTCACACCGTGCCCGTCAGCCGCCAACTTTATCCGGCTGCTAATAAATCTCTCCTCTCTCTCTCTCTTTCTCTCTCTGTGTGTGTGTGTGTGTGTGTGTGTGTGTGCTTTCGTTCTGGGGCGGCTCGAGTGCCCTTCTACGTGTCACTGCTAATTCTCCCGCTCGAACGAATCGACGCTGCAACTGCAGGGAAATGTGGAGTGCGGCGAGCTACTCAGCCGATCATGGTTTCGTGGCAGAGACCGATCATGGGGGGGTGCCGATCTCGAACCCCTCTCACCCCTCCACGTCGGCGACGCGTTTCGATTCCACCCGGCGACTTACTTTGTCTACGTTTCGATCGACGTACTTTTCCATTTCGTTCATTCCTTTCTTCTTCTTCTTCTTCTTCTTCTTCTTCTTCTTCTTCTTCTTCGTTTTTATCCAAGCGGTTCAGCTTGCTTGGTTCCTTCGGTGGAATGAAATTATTCCCCGTTTCGTCGGTGTAATTAGAGCGTTGATTTGCCGTGGAAATTAATCGAGACGCAGGTGTATTCAAATTGGAATGTTCACGATGTCTGGAGAACATTTTCACGTTTCGACAATTTTACACCGTGGGAGGTTAATGTAGGTTTTGCAAGTTTCGCTGCGAGTGCGTTCTCGAGGGGATTTTTGTATTGAAAGATACACGTTGCTTTTCAATTTAATCGGCCAGTTTTGTGATTAGTCTGTTAACCTCTTGCGCTGGAATGACGTGCCACGCACGTCGAGAACTTTTTGTCCCAAAATTGCAATATTTTCTCAATATATTTAAGCCTATAACCCAGGCAAAACAAATAATAAATTTATTACTTCCTAATAATTTCAATCCAGTGACATCATGCTGACGAATTTCAAAAAGAAAGCGACGAATTATTGTATACGGTTCGGTCGCTCGTTATGGTCCGCGAACCAGTTGCTACCACAATTCCACATTTCACATTCCGCAAAAATTGTCTGCTGGCAAATTTTTGAAAAAATTTGAGAACAAAATAAGCTTTAAAAATGTAAATAAACATTGCAAATCAAAACAAACAATCAAAAAAATGTAAATAAACATTGGAAACCAAAATAAATAGACCAATGTTTGCAAACAAAGCGAAATTTCAAAGTTTCCGAAATTCCGATTGCAAATTTTCGAAAATTTTAGAAAACAAAGTGTGTTTATATCAAAAAAATGTAAATAAACATTGGAAACCAAAATAAACAATAAAAAAATGTAAATAAACATTGGAAACCAAAACAAACAATCAAATGTTTGCAAACAAAGAGAAATTTCAAAGTTTTCGAAATTCCGATTACAAATTTTCGAAAATTTTTGTAAACGAAGTATGTTTATATCAAAAAAATGTAAATAAACATTGGAAACCAAAACAAACAATCAAATGTTTGCAAACAAAGCGAAATTTCAAAGTTTTCGAAATTCCGATTGCAAATTTTCGAAAACTTTTGAAAACAAAGTGTGTTTATGTCAAAAAAATGTAAATAAACATTGCAAACCATAATAAACAGTTAAAAAAATGTAAATAAACATTGGAAACCAAAACAGGCAATCCAACGTTTGCAAACAAATCGAAATTTCAAAGTTTTCGAAATTCCGATTACAAATTTTCGAAAATTTTTGTAAACAAAGTATGTTTATATCAAAAAAATGTAAATAAACATTGGAAACCAAAATAAACAATAAAAAAATGTAAATAAACATTGGAAACCAAAACAGACAATCCAACGTTTGCAAACAAATCGAAATTTCAAAGTTTTCGAAATTCCGATTGCAAATGTTCGAAAATTTTTGGAAACAAAGTGTGTTTACACCAAAACAATGTAAATAAACATTGGAAACCCAAACAAACAATTAAAAAAATGTAAACAAACACTGAAAACCAAAACAGACAATCCAACGTTTGCAAACAAATCGAAATTTCAAAGTTTTCGAAATTCCGATTGCAAATTTTCGAAAATTTTTGGAAACAAAGTGTGTTTACACCAAAACAATGTAAATAAACATTGGAAACCCAAACAAACAATTAAAAAAATGTAAACAAACACTGAAAACCAAAACAGACAATCCAACGTTTGCAAACAAATCGAAATTTCAAAGTTTTCGAAATTCCGATTGCAAATTTTCGAAAATTTTTGGAAACAAAGTGTGTTTACACCAAAACAATGTAAATAAACATTGGAAACCCAAACAAACAATTAAAAANCAAATTTTCGAAAATTTTTGTAAACAAAGTATGTTTATATCAAAAAAATGTAAATAAACATTGGAAACCAAAATAAACAATCCAATGTCTGCAAACAAATTGAAATTCCAAAGTTTTCGAAATTCTGACTGCAAATTTTCGAAAATTTTTAAAAACAAAGTGTGTTTATGTCAAAAAAATGTAAATAAACATTGCAAACCGAAATAAACAATTAAAAAAATGTAAATAAACATTGGAAGCCAAAACAGGCAATTCAACGTTTGCAA